AGGGAAAGAAACCGGCACCAATTAGAAAGGGGGAAAAAGAAAAAAGTCAGAAAGTTACTCTGGACAAGCTTAAGAGACAGCAAAGTGCTTTCATCACGAGAGGGAAGTGCGGTGGGGACAGCCAGCCCCAGCTTTTGCACCACGTCAGACCAAAGCCTCGTTTTCTGAGGCTTCTGTTTCTAAGTTTGAGGCAAGAAGCAGTAAAAAGTCCTCTAATTCTTTCCAGTGATAAAACCATGGAGCGTACCTTTGCCAAACTACGCACACTGCAGTTGTTTCCTGCTAGATGTCTCTCTCGGCTGTATGACTGGTTGCAAAGCAGTCGCTCTGTTTGCAAGAGGCAGACCTAAGAAAAATGAGGTTACCCATGCTACCTTCAGAAAACCCTCTTTCTGAAGTATTCCTGCACCCATGAGGCTTTAGCAGGCACATAAAACTTGTCAGATAGATGATCCCAGTTGGGCATATTCTTTTCCCTCAAAATCCCCCATTTAAAAATACTTGGAAAAGGGCAGTCGGTACGTTTGCATTGCAAACACTGAAAGCCAAATTCCATTTCAGATGGCAAGTGCCACAGCTCTTGGGGCCTGCCCAGGCTACGCACATGCTATCTCCTGGGATGTGCCGACCAGGACAAGACACATTGAAGTCCCCTGCTCCCCTAGCAGGAATTCGGGGTGTGTTAGAGCAGCAGCAATCTGATTTAAATACAAAGGGACAGAAGCTGGACTCTGAGCAAGAGCAAAAGTAACCTGGGACAAAGCCTGCTGAGATGGGGAGAGAAGGTAAAATAATTCACTCCAAAAAAAATAAAATAACACGAGGATGAGAAAGAAACTCCCGTTTAGGGTTGACTGGGTAGGGAAAAATAGGAAGATTGGACATGACAAAGCATAGCAAGGAATAAATATTGTGTATTAAGCAATAGTTGATGGGGAACTAAGCAGCAAGCCAGAGAAACATGACTTTGTGCTCAGCTCTGTCTCAGAACCAGGACTAAAGCTGGGCGATGATTAAGCCTGGCATAGTCTCTAGAAGATATTACAGTTGCAAGGGGCAGATAAAAAGGCAGCTTTTCTGTATGTGAGCACAACGCTGATATTACTGGGGAGGGGATGCAAGTCTATCCAGACAGCACAGATAAATTCTGACCGCAGCGAGGAAGCTGTGAGCTCAGAAGCTTCACCCGTCCCCACACGCTATGCACAGGCTTCCTTCCACGGTTTCAATATTAAGCAGTCACTTAAAGATATAATTAAAGAGCTGAGGTTCTGAGGCATGAACTCCAGAAAGCTGTTCCAGAGGTGATGAGCTGCAGAGAAGAAAGCAAACACCCTACATGAGAGAGTAAATTAAGCTGGAGTTTGATGAGGAAGGAACACACAAAGAAGCAAAGGAGAAAAAAAAAGACACGTTGGGATGAATACATAAACCTCTTGGTTTCAGCAGTTAACTCTGACAGTATAAAACCATTAAAAGGGGATTTAAGAAAAGAATAAGATAGAAAAATAGCTGGGAATGAAGTTACTTGCATGTAAAAGACAAACTAAGACTGTCCTCAAAAGGAGAGTTGCAAAATTCCTCTCATCTCTTCCCGAGAATGTTACTTCTCCATCAAAATAAGCGTTCCCATATCACCCTACACAGAGGAACAGGACCAGGAATGGCACTTTAATGAAAACACGACCTCAAAATTAAGTTCTACGCATCGCCTGTTCATTAGACTGAGGTAAAAACATACAAAAAGATACACAGAAATAGTACCTTGAAAACTGAATACATAAACCAACACCAGGAGAATCAAGAGACTGAAATATTGCTACTTATTAGTCAGAATTATTAGCTGAGTGACAAGCAGCTGGTATTTAAAGCAGCGTTTAAGTAAGCATTTTAAAGCAAATGAAAACATAGCTTACGGAAGTCATCCTGATCAACCTACTCCAACACAAAAGCCCCAAATTTTCTTCTCAGAAAATGGCAACTGTATTGTAAAGAGAACAGGAAAAAAAAAATCCTTTCCACTGTACCAATTCATGTTTCTTAAACTATCATCTTATTTTTCAGCTTATCAGGTATCAACTTGTTACAGTTGTGTCTGAGGGAATTTCTTCTCTAGCTCCTATACTGAAGTTATTAGATCAGCAGCAGTTGAATTGTTTGGTTTTAATGTAATGATTACAAGAAAATCTCCTTTGTATGTCTAAATTAGGATTATAATTCAATAAGAGACACCTCACAATTATCAAATTAAACTACCTTCTAATCATCTGCAGCCCCTTCTCACTAGGCATTTGACCCTCAGAACTGAAAGCTGACAGCACAAAGTTCCTTTCAAGGCCTGATTAAACCATCCTATTCCCATCGATTTCCCATTTTCATGATTCCTTCCGGAGCATCAGAAGCATCAAGGAAGCCACGTGCTCTACACGCTTAAACAGCAAACCTTAAGACTTGTGCTTAGCTCAAAAAAAAAGAAAAAAAAAGTTAAAATATGTGTGGCCAAGTTTCAGCAGCAGGTTCTCATTCGACAGCGGGACCCGAGCCAGAGGAACCTCGCGATTTGCATCCTGACACCTCGTGGGGAGGCTGAACTGCCAGAAGGTCAGAGCACCTCCCGATCCCTACCGCTAACGTAACTCGGACACCAAGGAAAGCAGACAACCCGTCTGAGGTTATTCCATTTTCTTCTCATGGTCCCCATGTGTTGCCTGATCTAGTCGAGAGGAGATGTCCCTGCCCATGACAGGGAGGTTGGACTAGATGATCTCTAAGGTCCCTTCCAGCCTAGGCCAGTCTATGATTCTATGATTCTACTTGGATGCCAGGCGACCAGCCTACAGCCCTGTGAGGCTTGAGCAGCTCATCTTGGTCTCCAAGGTGGGTGCAGCACTTCGGATTTTCTTTGCGCTAGAAGGGGAAGGACATTACAACGGTTGTGCAAGAAATAAACCAAAGCATAAGCCTCAAACCAACAGAGTTACACCTCTGCTGCATAGGAAATGAATCATCCGAGATCTTTCTACTGCAATTTTTTCTCCCAGATATGAAACAATTACTTCTTACTGGAAGCGATGGCTTTGCCCCATGTTAAGCTTGAGGGCTCCAGTTACCACTTCAGGTGGAAACACATAAAGTTATTTTCAGGAAACTGCACCCAGTTTCCATCTCAAGTGCTCAAGGTGAGGAGCACACGCGCCTCTGAGTCGCCCCAAAAACGGCTGCTGGAGGTCAAGCTGCGTAAGGTGGAAGCTCTGGAGGCAAAACACCCAGAGAACGTACTGACATCTAGCAGGAAACATCTAGAAAACATACTGAGCCCAGTATGCTCGTGTGCTGAAGGACAGACCAGGGAGCATCCTGGGCGCAGGTTCTGGGGAGGGCTGGGGCACAGTGGGACAGTTTCCCTCCCATTCCCTGGCAGGCACGTCGCGGTGGCAAGGCTAGCCCTGCCTCCAGCAAGCGCCAACACCAGCCTGCTCCTACGAGCTGGTGTCAAAGTTACCCCCAAAGGCACCGCTGCAGCGGGGCTGCTGCCTCCAGGGCAAAGCTTTCGCTTGCAGTTCACCTCAGTCATTTCTCACCACTGACATCCTTCGAAGGAAACAAGATTATCATAAAGACGGGTCCGAAGCTGAACTTTCAAACTGACGCCAAGTTAGCTGGAAGGGGTGGGGGGTGGCAAGACATGACAACAGATCACCCTGCACGAGGTTTCGGGGTGTCATTTCTTTGTATTGCATCTAT